CCCCCACTTAAAGTATGCAATGTCCTTAGTGCATATAAAAGCAATAAAAATCCAGAAGGGTGGTAAGAAAACTCCATGGTTGTTCTTCGTGATCCTCCTCATTATCCCAACATGTGGTCGTAATGACCCCACACTTAAGATCTTAACACACGGTCCTTCAATTAAATCATGGTTACTCAGACTTCACCTTGCATAATTTAATCACGTTAGCGTCATACAATCATTTCATTCACATGTAACCACACTTTTAAAAATATACCCCGGGTCCAGTGAGCCATTCCCCACTTAAAATTTCATGTTAATTAAACTCACAAGCCACTAGTGTATCAATCTTGGAGACTCGGGCTCTAATTGGGACAAAAGTTGCCTTTGATGCAACTTAACAATACTTAGAGCGCACTAGTTGTGTGTAAGCTCTTGAATGGGTGAGAGATTGTCTCATCCTCCCAAATCGGTTTGGGATTTTTGAGCGTAAACACTCATGTACTCAACAATCACATTCCTATAAGATTCATCGGTGTGTGTGTGCTAGTGTAGGAATGGGTAAACAAAGGACAAAATAAGAGAGATCGAAAACTTATCTGGGTACCGCGAGCATGAACGAGAGGTCCACTACGCGGCAGAGCGGGCGACACCCATTGTAGGGTGAGATCCAAGCCTGGCGATGCCAGATGTAATGCGTGCATGACCAGTCGATCGGCTGGGCAGCACCTAGCCTGTGGCGATATCCTTCGTGTTTTGAGCTTCGTTATTAACTTATTTGACCGCCCATCATGCTCCTGTACATATTAAAACACCAAAAGTCAACCAAAAACTTGTTAGTACCTAAAAACAAACAGAAAAATCTAATTAAGCTAACTACACTATGAATTGGGTTGTCTCCCAATAAGCTCCTTAGTTAATATCATGGCATGACAAATACAACATCACAATGGGTTGCCTCCCATGAAGCGCCTGATTTAATGTGGCATCACAACGCAAAATGTTCTATCAAGCATCCACCAAGTCTATCGAATATTGGTGACAATGAACGCCACCATCTCAATACGGTTGGACTCTTTGCTCTTTGACAAAAACCATATCACCATGCATGGGATCCCTAAGTTCCACATCGCCATGCCTTATAGCACAAACTATCTCAAATGGACCACACCATCGAGGCTGGAGCTTTCTAGGGAAGATCTTTAATCTTGACTTATGCACAAGCACGGATTGACCCGGCTTAAACTCACAATGTGCAAGGTTCTTGTCATGCAACTTCTTTGTCTTGCCCTTACACAATTTTACATTTTCAACCAACTGAAGTTTTTCAGGCTCACTTCTCTTTGTGATGGCATCAACACTCACATCAATCCTGGGATCAATTGCCTTTGATTCAATCACCGAAATCATGCACAAGTCCTCATAATGCTTGGGCAGGTTGAGCACCTTGTGCACATTAAATGTATCTTCTTCATCATGCACTATCATCTTTAGCTTGCCTTCCCTCACATCAATAAGTGCTCCTCCAATGGCCAAGAATGGTCGCCCAAAATAATTGGAACTTTCTCACAACCATGTAGTTAAGAATAATGAAATCAACGGGAAAGATAAACTTCCCCACTCGCACCAGCATATCTTCAATTATTCCTTTAGGCACTGCTAATAATCAATACTCTAGCTGTAGAGTTATAATAGTAGGCCTAGGTTCTCCAAATTCGAGCTGCTTGAAAATAGATAAAGGCATCAAATTAATGCTCTCTCCTAGATCGCTCAAGGCTCTACCAACCTCATGTTTTTCGATCTTCAAGGGAATTATGAAATAGCCTAGATCCTTCAACTTAGTCGGGAGCTTACAATGGACTCTAGCACTCCACTCCTCAGTAAGTGAAACCGCTTCAAACTCTATCAACCTTCTTTTATTGGCCATGATGTCTCTCAAGTACTTGGCATATTTAGGAACTTCTTGCAGCACTTCTATTAAGGGTAGATTCGCCCACACCTGGCTCAATATATCTAAGAACTTTGTACTTGGACTCATCTTTCGACTTTTGCTACCTTTGAGGAAAAGGCGGTGGTGGCCTTACCTCTATCTCTTGCCTGTGTTAATCATCTTTCTTTTCAACTTCTACCTCTGGTCTAAGTACCAATCGTTCAAAAACTTCTTTAGGCACATACTTTTTAGGTGGCAGATTTTCCAATATTTTCCCACTTCATAGATTAATTGCTTGTACTTATTCAATGGGATTTTCTCAGTATCACTTGGTATTGCTCCAGTAGGTCGGGTATTTGTTGTGTAGCTAACTGTCCAATCTGCCTTTCTAAATTTTGAAAATCAGACATCAACTACTGGTTGTCAATAACAACTTTTTCAACATATCATTGGTGTTTTCTTATACCTATTGTGGTGTCTTTTGGGGCTAATTATAGTCTCCTTAGGGTCAATATTGATTTTGAGCAGCCTGAATTCCACCCCATGAGAAGCTCGAGTGATTCCTCCAGTTATAATTATAAGTGTTCCCATATTGTGCATTTTGGTTCATCGGACCTCTACTCTACTAGCCCACATAATAAATAAATTTTGGATTCACCGGACATTGGTCACTCGTGTGACCTTCTCCACAAAGTTCACAACATATAGACATTTGTTGCACATGTTGCATCTGCTGCGCTTGTTGTATCATCATCTTATTTACCTAATTGGACAACTTTGCTATATCATCTCTCATGGCTGAGAAATCATCAAGCTCGATAACACCTCCTGCCGTTTGTTTAAGCGCTCTATGTGGTTCCCTGTCTCCTCGTCAATTGTTATCGTTAGCCATGAAATTGTTCAGCAGGATCTAGATTTCAGTATACGACCTACCCATGCAACTACGTCCACAAGACGAATCAAGATTCATCTTGGATGCTTTGCCTAACCCATCAGCAAATGTATGACCCAGGACTTCATCAGTCTGACAGTGATGTGGGAAATCTCTGAGTAGATTTTATATCTCTCTCAGGCTTGACGTAGAGTCTCACCATCTTTTTTTTGAAACCTTAGAATTTGGCTCCTCGGTGACTTTGTTTTATTTGTGGGAAAGAATATGATAAGGAATTTTCGTGCTAGATCGTCCCATGTTCGGATTGAGTTTGTTGGCTCTTTATTCAACCACTCCTTTGCTTTTCCCAACAGAAAAAACGAAAACATGGTCAGTCTGACAAATTCCTTGGGGATGTTTGGGTAGTTGTATGTATCCGTAATCTCCAAAATATTCTGTATGTTCCTCTATGGATCTTCACTCGGCAAACCCACAAATTGCCATGTGGATTGGATTAGTTGCACCATGTACTGTTTCAAAGCAAAGTGCCCAGTTCTATCACGTTTCATGATAGCCTGAGTCATATTCGCAAGACTAGGCCTTGCGGTCTCAATCACTAGTCTCTCATTATTCTCTGCCATTTCGATTAGCTGTGGTTGGACGAAAATGCCCAACTCTGCAGTTCTTAATCTTGCTTCCGACTCCCTCATTAACCTATGGAGGAGTCTTTCGGCTCAGGATCACAAGGAGGAAGATAGTTCAAACTGTTACTTCTTTTTAGCATTTAATGTGAACACATGTCGAGTCAAAAATAGCAAAGCAAATTAACTCTCGAACAAAAACAAATAAAAGCTTATTTCAAACAATAGCTAATTTCTAAATCCCCGAAAATGGTGCAAAAAACTTGTTGGGTCCAAATGCACACGCAAGTATACGCGGAAGACAAGTAATAAAGTGATGGAGAGTATCGTTCCCTCGAGGATTTATGATCAAATTACTACTTAAACTAAACTAGTTATGAGTTATTTGTTCAAGAGATTTTGAGGAAGATGATTGTGGTTTTTACTAACTAAATTACTACGAAACTAATAAGTGAATAAGAGAATAAGACTGCAAGTAGGGTGATCGAAGCGAACCTTTCACTACTACAAAGTGGCAAGAGTGGTCGAAGCAGTTTTTACCCGAGAAGGTCGGGATCGATTTCCACAGGGAGCTAGAAATGGGAATTGGGTTTCTATCTAAGTTAGAGATGCGTAATTGCTCTTAATTTCACTTCTAATCATAGTTGGTTTTGATATTACTTCTAAATTTATACTAATAAGATGCTAAATTAAGCTAAGTTAAGCAAAGAGTAAGGTACTTGAAGGTTATCTAAATAGTTAAAAGGCACTAGGGGTAGGGGTAAGGTCTGCGTACATATTACCCTCCCCAGACCCCACTTGTGGGATTATACTGGGTCGTTGTTGTTGTTGTTGTTGTTGCACTAGGGAAGTGACTTTCTCCTAGGTGGATATTTGACGGATTCTCGAGTCTAAGGCTAGGTTGTCATATTGGGGATTACTATATAATCATTGCACGATACTACTCACTCTATACCTCTTAGTAGTTTGAGTGATTTTGCCCTAATTAACTTTCTCAAGACCAATTGGGTATGATAATTTGTGTAAGCAATTGAGGTTCAAGTTGGGTATTACTATTTCTAGGTTTAATCCTTTAATTGGGGCTATCAATCTCTTGAATACACCTCAATTCCTTGTTGGACTAATTTTCCTAGACTTAGGCTCTCTTTCACAAGAAGAGCCCAAGTCAAATAGACACAAATTAGTGTTTGCAACCACTAATTCAACATTGAAACCATAAATTAGTCCAAATATCAAACACCAATAGACAGTCAAGCCCTAAAACACAAGACTCATCAAATACCCACACTAGGGTTAAGCCACAACCCTAGCTAATGGGTCTAGCTACTCATGATAATAGAAGAAAACAAAGAAATAGATGAAGAAAAACCCATAATATTTAATTACAAGCTAAAACATGAAGATTCAATGGTAAAACTATTGTAAAATTATTCAAAATGGTAAAAGAACACTGTTTACGAGCGCAACTGCTAGTTAGAATACAATTGATGACCTAAAAATGGGAAAAAAACTATTTATACTAGGCCAAATTTTCTGGAAAAAAGTACCCCTGCGGGTGTAGTGCGGTCCGCAGAAAATCGAGTGCGGCCGCACTGAGGCTCTTGGCTTAAAACTTCTGCTCTCTGAACTTGGCCACCGCGGGCCGTACAAAATGCACTATGGCCGCGGTGGCTTCTATTGCGGTCTGCACAAAAAGGATCGCGGACCGCATTGGCAATATTTCCCCAAATTGGCAACTCTTTGAACTTCAGCTTTGCAGACCGCACAATATTGAGTGCGGCCGCAATGAAGCCAATGCGGTCCGCAGAAACTGCTTTGCGGCCGCATTGCTTGACTGCCTGAAATGAGCACCTCTCTGAACTTCCTCACTGTGGACCACACAGAATGGAGTGCGGCCGCATTGGACCTGTTGCACTGTGCTTGGACTTGTTCTTGGTACTTGTGCATATTTCACTCCTTTTTGAGCTGGTTTTGACGAATTGTCACCTTGTTGACCAAACCCTGCAAACAAGTACAACATGTAAGCCTTTGGGACTATTTTGTACACATTTTTAATCAAAACTCAAGTAAGAAGAAGTGTAAAATGCATCACAATCCCTATTTATCATAGGGCAAATAAACACTTAGAAAGAATTTAATGAAATGAGAATAATTCGGGGTTATGGGATTAATGTCTCTCCTATTGCGTTCTTCCGATTGATTTAATCACTTGATTATCTAACTTGTTGATTATCAGGTTTTATTTTGCTCGCGAAGTTCTTTCAACGCTTCGCTCGCCTATTCAAGCCAACTTAAGACTATAAGTTTATAGAATCAGAATTAACAAGAACGCATGTGTATTTCCTACAAAAACAACCAAGTAAGGCAACTAGAATATGTCTATCCTAATCGCGAATCTATTCTCCGATTCTCGGATTCAAGAACCTACTCTATTCAATCTTATATGCAATCTATAGTTCCCACTTTCGAGTACTCTAGTCTTAGCTACGCAATAGAATAATTAAGTGCAAGATTGAATAAATAAATTAATATGATAAAATCAAGTAATATTATCATCCATCAAAATACAATAGACAATAACAACCCATAGTCCCAATATAATGAGGTTCTTAGCCACTCATGTTCATGACAATACTCAAAATATTACTTTTAAACATAAAAGTTATAAATACCAGGTAGAAGATGGAAGAATGATGAATTCCATGCTCTGTTTAAGCTTCTTTGCCTTTTCATGCCTCCAAAATTGACCAGCAACTCACTAATCATGTTTAGAGAGTATTTATAGGTTAAGGTCAGAGTCCCAAGCCCAAATCCAAGTAGAAATCGTTTAAAGTATGGACTGGGAAGAGACCTGGCCTCAGAGCTCGCGAGGCCTGGTGTGCAGCATGCGTCACCCACTCCATCACCTGCTAGACCTCGCCCAGGACCAGTCGTCGCCCACTCTGGCGCGTGGTCCTTTTTTCCCCTATTTCGTGGTCTTTTTTGTATCTTTGACGTCCATCTGTGCGACCTTCATGTATTTTCATCCTTCAATAATCCTACACATAAAATGATACAATTAAGATCAAAACGTCGCATATTTAATCACTAACACTTTAAGATGTAGGGTAAGCAATGCACTAAAAATATACATTTATAGCCAAACATAAAAAACAAGGAAGTTTTATCCTTTTTGGTTATTGTAGTGATCCGGTCGGTTATTTTGATTATTTACATTTCTATTCGGTGATTCTAGGTTGTGAGTAGCTTCATATGATGTATTATGACTTGCGTGTATTATCGATTTCGCTCTTTGAGTAGCTTCATACATTTCTGTTCGGTGATTCTAAGTTTTGAGTTGGAAGATTTGACCAAGTTTGACTTTTATATATTTGATCTCGAATTGGAGTTTTCATGGTTTCGTTAGGTCCGTATGGTGATGTTAGACTTAGTCTTACGTCCGGATGTGGATTTGGAGGCTCATAGGTTGTTCTAGCTTGAATTGGCGAAGGTTGGATAGTTGATAGTTTGGAAGGTTGATATGTTTGACCAAGAGTTGACTTTGTTATAACGGGTTCTAATTTGTGTTTCCGATAGTTGGTATAGGTCTGTTGTTC